GAAAAATTTAAAGGGACATAACACCAACAAAAATAGTAAACCTAATGCTTGTACATCATTATACAAATATAAATATTAATCTTGTTGTTATAAAACCGTTAGACAAATATAAATTTTAATGTTGTTGTTATGAAACCGTTTTGTGTTTATTCTTAATTTGTGGTATTTTGCGTTAAATATAAATTGAGAGATAACAGGCCTCTACAGTAGCACCTATTAAGGTCTCATCTATGGGTAAATAGTTAACCCTTAAACTGGGGTCAAAACACTATGAAAGTGTAAAAATAGGTTTTAATACCAGAAATACTTAGTAAAAAATTATTACCAGCAATACATTTTTGGGAAAAAAATTGCCAGCTATACTTGTTTGCAAAAAATTACCAGAAATATATTTTTGAATATATATATATATATATATATATATATATATATATATATATATTACCAGTAATAAAAACATCCTGATGGAATTAAATAATCCATTGAGGTTGATATGCCGTTAAACAAACCAAACCAAACCAAACCAAACCATAAATCTGTTTATGACTCTCGATAGATAAGCGAAATTAACTTCAGGAGAGAAGAAATATGACGGTCCCGTTCTCACAGGAGGGGGTATCGAAAAAACCCTCAAGAAATTAAAGTTGAAAGAGGCCGGTAGAGTTAGTTGTCTGGAAGCGTTCAGACAATTACGCTTCCAAATACCCAAATACTGTGCCATGGGGAAAATGCATGGAGTGCTGGTGTTAATAAAATAGTGATCTATATAGCATAAAAGAGCTTTAATAAAATGGTGCACGATATCCCATCATAACAATAATATACTGAATTACTGTATCATCAACAGAAACAACAATGATAATCAATTTACAAAAAATAAATGCAACTGCCGAAAAATACGATCTGTCCCTTAAACGGCCAGTGTATAACTGAAAATATTGTATACGGAGCTAGCATACATTCCGATAGGGATGTCAAATTTTATATTGTGTCCACTGAAGATCTTTGGAAATTTCGTCTCTGCGATCATCGAATGCCTTTACGCAATATAAAATACATAAACAACATGGTTCTCTCAAAACATTTTTGGCAATTAAAGAATAGTGGTAATACACTCACGTGAGATATTATAGCTAAAGCCAAATCTTAAAATGGGAGAGGCGATAGATGTAATTTAAGCCTTGTAGAAAAATTACTTATTTTAAAACATTTAAATAAACCTAACTTATTAAAAAAGAGGAATAAAGTGATTGCTACATGTAGGCCTAAAAATAAATACCGATTGAAATGAGTTGATCTTAATTAATTTCTACTGTAGATTATAACCTTTCCTTTTTTAAATTTATTTTCTGTTTACTTATTTTATGTCGATCATATATAATTATATTTTTTTATAGTTTTAGGTTCGTTTATTTTTATACAATTTAAAAAAGAATAATCCTTGTTTACTTTAAACATAAAATATAAATCCAGACTATATTAAATACCATTTTTAATTTTTTTTAAACCAGTAATCCCCGTATAATATATGAACTGCACTAGCATTGTGTTAAGCAGATATTTTTATTAACAATTAAATTATGTAACGGTCTCTAATCAGCACCTGATGACTGAGTTGTACATCAAACTCCGAATCGTGCTACCAGTATATATATATATATATATATATATATATATATATATATATATATATATATGTGTGTGTGTGTGTGTGTGTGTGTGAAAAGTGTGTGTATATAAATATAAATAAATATATATATGTAAAATTATTTATATATAATATGCGCGGTGCTTATTAGAAAGCGCTAACATAGATAGAGCTAACATATTTGGTTGGATGACAAAACAACGAAGTTTCCCCCCCCCCTCACTTCCACAATAACACCAATACACGCAATCTACATAAACCCAAATATTTTAAAAAATTAATCAGTTTGTCTGACGATCGCTAAAGCGTGAAACCCAGGGTCACAAAATATTTATCTATCCAACCGTATATATATATATATATATATATATATATATATATATATATAAATTAATTGATTTAAAATATGTTTTTTTCCGCTACACAGTTCTAACCATGTTTCAAAAATGATACGCCATGAGCAGTTATGAATGTACGAGATTCATGGAAGATTGAAGTTTATAAGCAGTAAATTCGACCTTGCCTACCGAACGATCCTTTGTGGCCGATTCGTAAGGCACGTCAGCATAAGTGACGGTTCGTATAGGATGCAGGTTCGAATCCTGTCAAAGGACGAATATTTTCTATGAAAATTTCTCGGACATTCAGGCTGGTAAATTTTATTTAATACTGTTTATTATAAACAGAGCATTTCCTTAAATACTTGTATCTATAAAAAGAATGTTAAACATAAAAATGCCCTTTAATAAATAAATTGTCGGACTTTGTCCATTTCTTAATATATATATAAATGTATTAAATCCGACGAAATATTCTACTTTGTTTTGCAGAAATGTTATTTTAGATGGATAATCATATTCAAATAAATGCTTTATTTATTTAATTAAACAGTATTTTTTTTATTTAATTACATTTACCGGCTTGAATATTTGGGAAATTTTGTAAGAGGACGCATATTATAAGATTTCCCGAATATTATTCAGGGCGATAAATGTAATTAGATAAAAATAGTGTTATTAAATAAACAGAGTATTTACGAGTGTGCATCTAAAGTAACGTTCAGGCAAAACAAATTACCATATATATATATATATATATATGAAGGTAAAAGCGAATGGAGAAATTCGTACAGAAAACATTCGGTATTCATTGACAACCGTGAGCGTTGCTGTCAGTTGAAACTTATAACACAGTTTTTTTTAATAGACTTTTAAATTCGGCTTCTCAAGCCTACAGTTTTCCGCTGTTTTTATTGTATTCATGGGGCTTAGCTTCCTAGCTTTTTGTTTAAGGTAGTGTTGAAAATCAATATCTTGAGTAAATTATTTTCCTGTTTCTTTACATGTGATATGCATTTCAGTTGTTTCCGCAGTTGGATGTCTTCAATGATCTGTTCTTTTCTGTTTTCTTTATAATTCTATATATATTATATAATTTCTGATTCATATGTGTATAGATGTATAAAAAAACTATTCTTAATAAATGAATGAAGAGTGTATAGAGCCAGAGTGTTGGGATAAAAAAGCAACAATAAGATGGAATAAAACTGAATAAAAATAATAGTAATAATGAAATAAGTGTATAGAGCCAGAGGTTGGGATAAAAGAACTACCAATTAAGATGGATAAAACTAGTAATGAAAATAGCAAATGAATGTAATCCATATAAAAAAGAGGAATAAAATCCAATGGTAATAAAATAATAATAATAATGATAATAGCCAGAGTAATAAAAAGAAAATAATAATAAAAATAATGAAATTTGATAATGAAGCCAGAGTGTTGTTTAAGGGGAATAAAACTAAAATAAAAATGAAAGAGTGTATAAATGTGTTGGGATAAAAAAAAAATAATAAGATGGAATAAAACTATAATAAAATAATAGTAATAAAAGAGTGTATAGAGCCAGGTTGAGTAAGTCTGTAAGGTAAAATCGTAATTCATTTAACTAACAAGGACTGTATAGAGCCAGAGTATTGGGATAAAAAAGCACCAATAATAAGATGGAATAAAATACTTAAAATAATAGTAATAATGAACAGTGTATAGAGCCAATACTGTTAAGGAAAAAATCAATACCTAATAATAAGAATATAATAAAATAGTAATAAAATAATACAATAATGCCCCAAGCTTCTAAAAGATGGAATTGTAATAAAATAAAAGTAATAAATGAAAGAGTGTATAGAGCCAGAGTGAAAAAGCAAAAATAATAAGATGCTAAAACTAGAATAAAATAATAGTAATGAAGAGTTATCTTTGGGATAAAAAATACCAATAATTCAATGGAATAAAATAAAATAATAGTAATAATGAAGAGTGTATAGATTCTAATTGGGATAAAAAGCAAAATAATAAGATGGAATAAAACTAGTAAAAAAAAATAATAATAATAATTCAGAGTGTATGGCCAGAAATAAAAGCACCAAAATAAGATGGAATAAAACTAATAAATAAATAATAGTAATAAGAAATGTATAAAAAAGCCCAAAAATAAGATAAAAAAAATAAAATAAGATCCTCTAATAAAATAAAAGTAATAATGGCTCGTAGAGCCTTCTGTGATCATATGGATAAAAAGCAAAATAAAAGATGGAATAAAACTATAATAATAGTAATAATGAAGACCATAAATAAAGTAAAAGCAAATTGTATATAAAAAAATAAAAAAATAATAATATGGATGTAAATAATAATAAATGTCATGATATATGGATTATTTGTTGGGATAAAAATAATTTAATTTTAATAAAACTGTAATATAATAGTGTTGATAGTATATAGGAAGAAGCATTTATTTTATGCCAAAGGAATTATGATATAGGAAATAATTGGAATTTCATTTATATAAATAAAGTAATGATGAAAAAAAGAAGACAAAAAGTGAACAATAACGGAATAAAACGAATATATATATATATATATATATATATATATATATAATATATATATATATATATATATATATATAAAAAGCAATCGTACTAAATAAAAAAAATAGAAGAAAAATTCGATAGAGAAAAATAGTATTTTTAAAGTGTTTTTATCATTTTCGAGATAATAAATTTGAGTCTGAAACGCGAGAATCCGTGACAAAATATCATTTAATATCAGCCTCCGTTGTCGTCTGCAAGTTGTAAATGGAATAAAACTTATCTTTAGTAATGTATGTTGAAGCCAATACCATTTTCTTTTTTCTTTTCAGATTTCTTTCTTTCAATAAAAGATTTCTTTCTTTTTTCTTTCTTTGAGTCTTTCCATTGCTTTATTCATTTTAATGAAGAGAAATTGTTTGAAAAAAAATCTTTCTGGACATTCACTATATTCTTGGATTTTTCTTTTCTTTAAAAAGAATGACATTCACTATATTCTTCTTTCTTTCTTTTCTTTCTGGACATTCACTATATTCTTTCTTTCTTTCTTTTCTTTCTTTCTTTTCTTTCTTTCTTTCTTTCTTTCTTTCTTTTTCGTTCATTTATTCCATTCCTTGTTTGTTTCTATTCAGTTCTTGAATTTTTTTTTCTTTCTTTCTTTCTTTCTTTCTATTTATTTTACAGTTTATTAAAAAATGCCTTGTGGTCCAAAGTATTGTCACCGCTCCATGATATAATTTTCTATTTCAGATGTCTGACACGAGCCCCTAATGTTTGGAAGAGAGGCTGCTTGCAACTGTATGGAGACATGATCATGTGCATTCTAACAAAAGCATACAGGATGTCTGACATGACTTCACAGCTAAATTTGGCAAAACAATTTCTCTGAAGAGGACAAAACCGGTAGGGTTGACAAGACTTTCGGACCACACTGTATCTGAATTTTGATTTACTTGGTTTTTTTTTTAACTTTCTTTCTTTTCGGTGATTCAATCTTTTTCTTTCTTTCTTTCTTTTTCATTATTTCTTTTCGTTTAGTGAAACTATTTCTTTCGTTCATTCGATTTCTTTCTTTCTTTCTTTCTTTCTTTCTTTCTTTCTTTCTTTCAGTTCATTTATTTATTTCTAAATTTATCTGATTTTGATTTACGTTTTTTTTAACAAATTTTCATTTCATTTCTTTTTCTTTCTTTCTTTCTTTTTTTTTTCATTTCATTTTGTTTGTCTCTTTCTTTCTTTTCTTTCTTTTTCTTCTTTAGTATTTTTTATATTATTTTCTTTTCTTTCTTTATTTTTTCTTTTTTTCTTCTTTTCTTTCTTTCTTTTTTTGTTTCTTTTTTTCTTTCTTTCCGTTCATTTGTTTTTTTTTCTTTCTTTTTCTTTTTTTTTCATTTTAAGTTTTCTTTCTTTCTTTCTTTCTTTTTTTTCTTTTTTATTTTCTTTTCTTTTTTCTTTTTTTTTCTTTCCGTTCATTTATTATATTGTCTCTTTCTTTTTACAGTCACTCATTTTCTTTTTTTCTTTTTTTTCCTCTTTTTTCTTTCTTTCTTTCTTTCTTTCTTTCTTTCCCTCTTTCCGTTCAGTTGTTATATTGTTTTTTCTTTTTTTTTACAGTAACTCGTTTTCTTTCTTTCTTTCTGTTCATTTGTTATATTGTCTCTTTCTTTTTTACAGTCACTCATTTTCTTTCTTTCTTTCTTTTCTTTCTTTCTTTCTTTCTTTCTTTCTTTCTGCTTCCATAACTTTTCCGCATTTTCCACTTACTTATCTTTTACACATGGCGACTGAAATGTGTTCAATTATTTTGGAAAGAACAAACATCATAACAACCAAAATAAAGATAAACGTACACTTGCCACAAAATTTGACTGAAATCCAGCTGATGTTCACGAAAACTGTTGACAAAATTATTTTTTTTATCAGTTCTTCTTCTTGCTGTTACCGAGAGGGAAAAGGTATTAGCGGCACGTGATCCGATCATTTGCCTCCGTCAAATACATAGTTCTTTTTCTAGGTGTCATAAGTAATCAGGATGTAGGAGATCATAGCTCTCCCCAACTTCCTCTCTTTTGTAGATTTTAGTAAATTTTGGCTTTTTACCATATCTCTTGAGGCTTGTTCTGTCAGCCATTTGCACAAGTTCGTTTGGGAGGTTGTTCGAAGTTTTTCTTGGTTCTTCTTCATTCGAAATGATTTTATCATAAAAATGAATAGGCAATTATTTTACTATAAAAATCCACAGAAAATTGTTTTGCAATGATTATTTTATGAAAATGCATGGAAAACGATTGTACTATGAAATGCATGGGATATGATTTTGCAATGAAAATGCATTGGAAATGATTTGACTTTGAAAGTACATTGGAAATTATTTTATAAAAATCCATTGGAAAATATATGACAATGAAAATATACTTGAAATAATTTTATTGTGAAAATTCATGGGAAATAAGAATAAAGCATTGGAAATGATTTTTACTACGAGAATGCATTAGAAATGATTTTTACAATGAAAATGCATTGACCAATATCCGTCTCTGGATCTTGTCAAGAACTCCGAGGTAAATATATGGCAGCAATACACCATGCAAGGGCGAATGGTTGATTTGTATATTTGAAGTATCGATTCCGGGGAGAAAAATTTCCTGGCGCGGCACAGAGAGCCAACTTTCCTCGCGGTGGAAGAAGCAATTGACTCAATGTATTTGTTCCATCTCAGGTCAGCAGTCAACGTGAGACCGAGCAGACGCAGAGAGTTGCTCTCAAGAAGTTGACCATCAGACATTCTAATAGGGGGGGGGGAAGGATCTTTATGGTGATTAATAGAGTAGTTTAGTTTTTGAGGCGTTAAAGTTGACCAGCCAATTCTTGTCCAAATTAACAACCGATTGGAGGTCCATTTCAAGACGAGCGGCCAGGTTAGTTTTGTCAGCAACACTAGATTTGTTTTTGAGGTAGGAGAAAATTGTAGTGTCGTCCGCGTAGATGCCAACCTGGGAATCTATATGGTGTCAGGAAGGTCGTTGATGAAAATAAGGAATAGAGTGGAGCCAAGCATGGAGCCTTGGGGAACACCTGCGTTCGTGGGATAGGAACTGGAGGAGAATCCGTTGAGAACGACCTTCAATTCAGGGTTTGACAGGAATGATTGTATTAGGTCAAACAATCGACCTGTAAGACCATAACCCTGGAGCTTGCGAAGAAGGCTGGCATGCCAAACCCTATCAAACGCTTTTGAGATGTCTAGGGCCAAGGTACGAGCCTCACCATTATTTTGAAGGGCTTGGTAGACGGTTTCAGTGATGGCCATAAGCACATCAGCTGTAGATCGGGCGTAGCGGAAACCATATTGCTTGTCTGAGAGCAGGTGATTTACTCCAATATTTGTCTATGCCCTCAATGAAAGCGATTGGAGACACTGTAACGTAAGGGTCTTTATCACGGGTGGCCAAACTTGCTTAATGTATGATCACGTACGATCCGGTTCGGTCATAGGTTGTTCAGACGCTGGTCAGTACTGCCGCTGGTCAAATGATGGTTATCTGCTTTCCGATTCGTTCCTTTATTCGTTGTATTCCTTGATCACAGAGCCGTGAAGATCGTATTTCGTCCGTACTTGAGCGCTCGATCAGACCGTGGCGGAACCGTGATACAAAAAGATAAAGAACGCTTCCGCTGGCGAAAATATCAATGACCGGGTGAATTTTCAATGAGTTTATATAGTTTTTGGTACAACAAAATTAACACGTCCCGTTAAACTTTCTATCGTGACACTTTGTATTTTTCTTCTAATGCGTGGAGCTAGTTCAATCAATAAAGAAAGAGGTTGGTCGGGAATTCCCTTGGTGCAGGTCACGTGGGGTTCGGCAGCACCTTCGTCCGCTGCTCTCTCGTCTTGTCTGCGTCTCTCGCTCCAACTGCTGGGTCGCTTAAGCGCTCTGTTTATATGTATTTCGCCCGACTCCCACCGCACCTGAGGCCTCATCAATAGTTATGTCGATTAATTGTTTTCTCCAGTTTTGTAGAAACGACACTGGCCTTCAAACAAAGCGGTGAGTTATTCAAAACAATACATTTTTCAACATGAAACATTGTTTATCATTCCCTTCTATATCCTGACGACAATCGGTCCGCAATCGATTACTTATTCAAAACAATTTTTCCGATAACATACTTTTTGTTTATAAATTATTTCTATGTCCTTGATGTCAAAGAAAGCTCTTTGTTGTCGAAATTTCAGTGTGGCTGATTAAAATCTTGGCACACTTTGCGCGTTTACACCACCATATTTCAGTTTGTTTACATTATTGGCTTTGCGATTTGTAACAATACCATCTGCTTCTCGGCTGACAAGTAATCCCCATTTAACAAATCATATTTTTTAAATATCTATTCCATTTTTTTATTCTGTTTATCAGAAAAAATTCTCTTTTTTTTCTTTGCTCTATATTCCAACTGATGTTTTCACCTTAACGTTTTCTCCAAATCCTATACGGGGTTTTCACATGTAACCTTTTAATCTTTCTCATACTACCAGTGTCTCATTTAACCCATTCAATTACAACAAGTGACATTTTATAGTATTGATGGGGGTTTGCTTTTTACTTTATGTATTTATGTATCATTGTTCATATATATATATATATATATATATATATATATATATATATATATATATATATATATGCCTGCTATATTACCTGAAAGGAGTTCAGCCAACATATTTCTACGAGGTCTAAGGTCAAACAGCCGAATGCGGCTAGCGTGCCGCGGTTTGATTATATGCTATAGATGTTTTCCGTTACTACTTTGGCTACAGGAGACCGTCTAGATAAAAGAAAGCTCCATTGTCTATTTAAGGAAATGTCCATCTGATGTTGGGACTTCTTCGAGTTCATACCTGTTAGCTTGTTTCGTACCCAAAACGTAAACAACAGTAATTTTTTAATGTATTTTTTTTCATCTGATTGTATTTATTATTACTCTAAACGTTAATTTTATTGGGTACAAGTGTTTGACTTGACGTCTCTCTTTTTTGATTTAGTTTTTAGAATGTTTTAAATATAACATTATTCTTGTAAATAAACAATCTAATAAATAAATAGTTTTTAATATTTTTGTTGCAAATTCTCAGGAAGAAAAACAGTTGTATGAATTCACTTCCATCATACATTTAGGTTTTATTACAATTCTAATCATACCTTTTCAAAACAACAAACATTACCGAAGAGAGAAGGTGGTTAAAATAAAAGTGGCGTCGGCGTTTAACCAAGAAGATCTTAGCGACTTAATCAGGGATTTGAATTTACCAAAAGAATCAGAAGAAATGTTAGCTTCAAGACTGAAGGAGAAAAAAAGTCTCCTTAAGAAAGGAACAAAAGTTGCATTTTATCGCAATAGAGACGCTGAATTTGTTTCCGTTGTTGTTTCTTTTTCGAACAGGAAGGTCCATGTTCGCCGAAAAATGTGCTTTCCGCCAGGAATCGATCCTATACCCCTTTTGCCTAGCAGGGAAACCATTCCTATAGCACAGGGGTGGGGGGATAAACTTGCTTAATGTAAAAGCCACATACGACAAAGTTCAGATGTTTGAGAGCCACAAGACATGAACAAAATTAACACATAGGTTTTTTTTTACATACACGTTGACATTCAACTTAAGTTTTAATCCAATGGGGTCTCAATTCATACCCAGTAAATAATTATAAAGTTTGAATTTTTTTTATTTACTTTTATATTAACTGTGATGGCAAAAAGAAGCTCAGCTAACATATTACCACGAGTGGCATATTAAACGTCAAAGAGTTGCATGTGGCTCACCGAGCCGCGGTTTGTCCATCCTTATTTTAGACGATGAAGAAGACAACCTTCATCGGACCTTAAAAAAATCCTGGCGCTACAGAATCAGCTACAAAGCACTTCACTAAATAAAAAAGTAAAAAGCAAAACCCCATCAATACTACAAAGATCGTTGGCGTAAGAAGATCGTTATCAGTAAAACTTAAAAAGCGTGGAAAAGTATTTTATTTATTTTTATGAAATTTCAACCAACACTAAACAGCTTCAGAGTAATAGATAGGTCGATATGAATACTGGGATAACATGAGGAATAGATAGATAGATAAATAGATAGATAGATAGATATGAACAAACTGAGATAGATAGATAGATATGAACAAACTGAGATAGATAGATTGATAGATAGATAGATAGATAGATAGATAGATATGAACAAACTGAGATAGATAGATAGATATGAACAAACTGAGATAGATAGATTGATAGATAGATAGATAGATAGATAGATAGATGAACAAACTGAGATAGATAGATAGATAGATAAATGAGATAGATAGATAGATAGATAGATACAGATAGAGATAGATAGATAGATAGATAGATAGATAGATATGTACAGCCTGAGATAGATAGATAGATAGATAGATATGTACATAGCCTGAGATAGATAGATAGATAGATATGAGATAGATAGATATATGTAGATAGATATAGATAGATAGATATATATGTAAGATTATGAGATAGATAGATAAGGAATAGATGAGATATGTACAGACTGAGATATATATATATAGATAGATAGATAATGATATGCAAATCCTGAGATAGATAGATAGATATATATAGCCTGAGATAGATAGATAGATAGATAGATAGATAGATAGAAAGAAATAGATAATGCACAGCTGAGATAGATAGATAGATAGATAGATAGATAGATTTTTCAAAGACTGAGATAAATAGATATGAAAAGATATTTAGACAATGATAGATAGATAGACCGATAGATGTGAACAAAATTAGATATGGACAAACTGGGATAGACAGACAGATTCGATCAGAATCATATAGATACATAGATAGATAATGGACTGAATCAGATCAATAGATAGATAGATCGATAGATAGATAATGAACAGAGTGAGATATATAAATGGATAATGAACAATGTGATATAGATAGCATGGATTTGTTAGATAGATAGATAGATAGATAGATAATAGATAAAAAATTTAGAAAAAGGAGATAGATAAAATAAAAATAAACAGAAACATACACAAATTTGACACAAAACACACATACAAAACACATACATACATAAAATACAAATATATAGATATATGAAAAAAAAAAAAAAATTTTATTGATGATAGATAGAAAGATAGATTCATTTATAAAAATTTTGCGAAAAGAGATAGAGGGAAAAAGGGAAAATGAGTAATGTTAATACAAAAAAAAAAAAAAGAAAAAGAAAAAAACTTTCCCTTCAAAGTGTATCGCGTCTAATTGGATCACATATTGAAAAGTTATCTGATCTTGTCTTTTTATGTATTAATTAAAACCCAAGAACGATTCTAAATTTAGACATCAATCAAGAAATTGTGACGGAGGTCAGGTTTTCTTACTGAAATTGATTTCGCACCTAATTTAAATCAAAGATAATTTAATATAGCTTCCTTTCCTATGAAGACCATTCCAGTAAATCAGTGATTTGAACTTTCGTACAACAGCCAAATAAACTAGGGAAAAGAAGTTTACATATTTGTAAGCGTTCTCGGATTGTAAATGAAATATTTGTCGCAGATAAATTCCACAACACAGAGAATAAATCACTGTAAGTTCAAACTCGATTCGCAGGTACTATCTATATAAATCACAATGCATGTAACCAGTCAGAAGAATAACTCAGCATCTCATTCGCACTAATAGAAAAAATACATAGAATTTTGCTCCCCGACTCGAGAACACCAACTGCTTTTAGCCGCCGAGCATTTTTTTCATTCGTCGACAACTGGGAGAGGACGTCCAATTTTTGCATATCAAAATACATTTATAGTGACTCCTGCGATGGACTTGTTTTTAATTTAAATATTCCGTCTTCAGCATGCCATCCGGTATACGTGCCCTTTTTTTGGTAAGTAATTTTCTTTTTCGTCATATTTTCCATCGTAGGATACACGCAACGCGCTGTCGCTTGGTTTGACGAGAGAAGTCGCCATTTTCTTCGCTATAATATTATGGGTATCTTAAATTTTATAAGCACAGCGCAGACTGTTTGTAGAAATGACAATGCAGAATACAACTTATGGGTCGTCTTTAAAAACGGAAACTGCAAATAAACGTATATAAATTCTTTTTTTTTTTCATTTGTTTTTTTTTTTTTTCTCCTGTTCACATGTTTTAATCATCAATAAAATATATAAAAAATTATCCGACCCAAAATAAATAAATAGTCAACAATGTTTAAAAGTTCAAATAAATTTTTAAATCAATTTTTAGTTTGCAAGTTTTAAATAATTTAAATTAGAAACAAATGTTACAAACTACAATTAAAAAAAAATTCCCTTTTTTTAAACTTTTAAAAATATGCTTTTTTTGTGATTTGATTTCGAAGTTACTTTCTTGGATAACGGATAAATATTTTGAATTTTGTGATGTTCAAGCGCAGATATCCATAGACTCTCAACTCCTGAAGATGGTCTCGAAAGCGATTGAAAATACTTGTAAAATTAAAAAATTATTTGTAAGAAAATTTTATAATTTTTCTTGATCAATTTTCTACAGCTACCAAGAAATTAATCCGTGGACTCGAAAGGATTAATATTAAACTAAATAGACATAATACGTCTAATAAAGTAGAAAAAATTTTTTACATATTATTATCGTAATTTTTTCAAAAATCAAACAGACTGTTGTATTAATACACCTTATGGGGCGCGAATTTAAAAGAAAAAAATAAAAAAAAACCGTTGTAAATTATTTTTCCTTTAAAACAAAAATGAATATATATATATATATATATATATATATATATATATATATATATATATATATATATATATATTTATTTTTAATTCCAAAAACCATTTGGGTAGAATTTTTTATTTTTTTATTAAAGATATAAAATCACCAGACATATTCAAGAAAGAATTTAAACTCAAGTTTTCCATGGAATGTTCAAAACCATTCAATGTTTTACTCAATGGTCAAAAATTTAAATCCATCATCTTAAATAAATATTTCTCTTTTTAATTTAATCAAAGTCATTTCAAACTGGTTTAAAAGAATCCTACAACTGTAAAATAAATTCTTATCAATTTATTCTTTTCAAATACATTCTGGCTTGTTTCTTGTCATTTAAGTTCTTTTTTTAAATACATGCAAACAGTTGTTGTCAAAGATAAAAATCAAATTTTTACTTTCTCTTCTGATCGATTTTTGGGGGCTCCGCTTGAGGCATTTTCCAACTCAAATTAACTGTTTTATCTGAAGTTGAGGGCGTCCATTTCTCTTTTCTGGGCATTAAAACAAATGCTTCATGAATTGACTATGCCATCTCAATATGGACTAAATTGGTTATTTTCTTTCTAAAATTTGTGCAAAATGTGATGATTCAGTTTTTGAAAATTCAAATCTTTAAAACATTTCTGGCTGAGAACTGCATGCATTCCTTTACCTAAAACTCTTTCCACCAAAAAAAAAAATGAAAAATCGTTATTCATTGCAAAAAAATTTAATGAATTTATTTTATAATGAAACCATTTTCAAATATACTGATTATTCATAGTTCAAAAAATATGATTGACTTGAAATGTGTTAAGACTTCTAAAATATATATATATATAATTCCTAATGCTATTCCCCGGAAAATAATAGAGTTGTCGGATTCAGAAAAGAAAAATCCAAAATTATATCCGGGTTTCTCTTATATCCATTTTTACTTTTTATATACATGATAACACAGGCTCTAATTTGGGACCAGTTCCAATCTCTCTTTATATCCATAAAATTATATCCGGGTCTAAACCATCCATGTTACACTGTATATATATATATATATATATATTATATATATATAAATTTATGATTTTATAACAAAGGTGGAAAAAAAAAAAGAAACCATTTAAAAAAAGATTTCTAGGAAATTTAAAATTAAACAAACTCAGAAAAAATATCCAAAAGACAGACATCTACCTAAACAGTAATATTTGTAATAAACCATTTTATCTAAATTATCAAGAGATACCAAATACATTCTGATTTTCTTCAATCATTTTCAGTATCAAACTCGAATTACAGACTTTAGTGTATATCATATATATATATTTCATATATATATATATATATATATATATATATATATAATATATATATTATGTAAATAAATGGTTTAATAGCAATTATGTCAAATTTAAATATTCATATATATTATAAATTTTTATATATATATATATATATAAATTTATATGTAGGTTTTGAAAATGAAAAAATAACTAAATATAATCAACCGTTTACGACACACACATTTATATATATATATATATATATATATATATATATATATATATATATATGTAAACAACAAGTTTTGTTAAAAATAGAATGTTTTTTGAAGGAATAAAATTTAATATTGTTAAAGTTATCGCTTATATTTTTTGTCGATGATTTGGGAAATTTACGTTTTGTTCATTTTTAAAAAATTTGAATAAATCAACTGATTTTTCTGCTAATGTATAGTCTCTTTCTCTCTCAATCTCTCTCTCATAAAAATCTCTATATAAATTTATATAATTAGGAAATTATATCAATAAAAAATGTTTCTCTTTTATTTTTTTTTCATCGAATTGATAGAAAAATCAGACAAAAAACATTATTTTCAACTTTGATTATTCAATTTTTTTGGCGTGGTGATGGTCATAAATTCTTATTGGTCAGTCATGTTTCATATTTATTAAAACTGTAGATAATTCTGCACAGTATTTACATTAGTCGGCCTATTGTCCTCATCTTTGTCGCCATATTTGTCACAACGTTTCGGCCGTTGTACGCTCCGGCCTTCTTCAGGTGGTTGGAATTTCGAACTGAACCCTTTATTTCGATCACTGGGGTAGACTGTTCTAGTTCCACGTGCCATGTTTGATGGATGTCAGTTATCAGTTAACTCCTGCTAATTTTCCCTCTGAAAGTTCTCCACTGCCTTAACCAGGAATTGAACTCACCTTCTTTGGGTCTGTCAATGATCTAACCAACGCCTTTATCCACTGTGCCATGTGTCCTTGAGGACATCTGGGTATGAACTTGAGTATTATAAACCTAATGTTTTCAGCATCATTTTTACCAGTGCTCATATTGCAATTTTTGCTGTTATCATTGCATGTCTTTACCAGAGTTCATATTGCAACTTTGTTATCATTGCTTTTCTCTGGCACTTTTATTACTGGTTCCCCATATTGTATTTATTTCTATGCTTGGTCGGCTCAGGAGATTTTTGTGGCCTAGCATATGTGCTGATTCCTTAAGTTTACGAATTTTCCAATGGTGTTCCCTGTCTATGATCTCAACATGATCCCACAGGGGCGGTGATCTCCCTTCTCTCCCATATGTGGTCAGCCACGCCTGATTTTTTCTACTTCCCCTCGTGTTACAGCTTTCTGGTGTTCTTGAAGCCTTACCTTGAGGGGGGCGGCCTGTCTCTCCTTTATATTCCTTTCCGCAGCTGCACGGGATAGCGTACACACAGTCTCTTTAGTCATGTTCCTCTCTATGGGGGGTCTCACTCGTGAGAGATACCTGCGAAGTGTTGTCACGCTTTTGAAGGTTGTCCTGATGTTATATGGACCGCAGATCCTTTGTATTTTCTCTGATAACCCCTTCACATAAGGCAGGCAGACTGTTTTCTGAGTGTTGTTGTCCTCCTCCTCCTCCTCCTTTGTACCCGCCTATCCCAGTTTTTGGGGGCTGCTGCCATGTACCCAGGGTAGTTGTTACGTTGTAGGGTACTACTTATACTGACCAATTCTTATCTAACGTCTCTGGATCGCCACTTATGACTTTTTTGCTCGGTGTTGTAAGCATCG